ATCGTGAGCTGAATATCGTGTATCGTATTGTATCGTGAGATTAGTGTATCGCTACAGCCCTAATTGGTACACCCGCAGATTCAAGTGGTTACAACACTTTTCTGATAATGATATAACATGATATTTCTTTATAGGCATTCTGAGGCAGAAAAAGGCATCATCAAACAGAATGTATAAGAACACCAGTTCATATTCTGATCAACATTTTATGCCACACCATCTGCTTTAGTGCAGATGGCATTGCCCAGTGTCCTGATGATGTTTCATTACAGAAGTGAGGATGTGTCACCTAGATTGTGTGTAAAAGAGGATCTAATACCAAGTAAAGGTCAAAACTTTCAGTTTCTAACAATGTTCCCTCTAATGTTTTGGCTTGTTCTGTCTTGCCAAGTCTACAGAACCACTCTCTGCAGTTAACAGAGACTTTAAGCTTTACACTAAACAATTCTTGAAATAATGAGGGAAACTTCTTTAGGCCTACCGGGAAACAACACAATCTAGTAGTAGTAGTATAGAAAGAAATCCTTGCTGAATAGACACATTAAGGGGCAGCTGTGGCTCAGAGGTAGAGCAGGTTGTCCACTAATCGGAAGGCTGGAGGTCCGATCCCCGGCTCCTCTTGCTGAATATCGAAGTATCCTTGAGCAAGACACTGAACCCCAAATTGCTCCCGATGCTGTGCATTGGTATATGAGTGTGTATGAATAATTAGTTGGCACCTTTCATGGCAGGGTTAGAGTTATCTCTGAAACTAAGCTGTAAGCAGAACAGATAAGGGGAAAATTTAAATAAGGTTTAGGATGAAAATGGTTCTGGAACCATTTCTAATTACATTCAATTTGTAAATCAAAATAAAAAAAATATTTCCACAACATGCACCTATTCACATTCTAGGATGCTAAACTGTATACAACCAGAAACTAAAAAAAAAAAGTGTTTTACACTACATGCCACATTCACCCTTTCACACACATTAACTCAGCAATGGCAAACATCGAACAGAAACTAACTCATTCATACACATCTACACACCGATGCACAGCATCGGGAGAAATT